GTCCAAATCCCTTCATAATTGGGCTCCACACACTGTCTCATTTCCCAACCACGCTGGTCCACCTGCCTCTGAGCTTTTGCGTGTGCTCTTCCCTCTGCCTGGAATGCTTGTTCTACTTGACACACTCCTATGCATCCCATAAGGCCCAACTCAAACGTTCCCGCCTCTGAAATGCTCACCTCCTTTTTACCTGTGCTGCCACAGCACACGGCACACCTCTGGAATGACAGCAGCACAGCAGTTAGAGTGGCAGGTCCAACACCTCACCTCTCATGGGAATAGAGGGAAGGGCAGACTTGGGTGGGAGCTCAATGAATGCTTCTGGGTGATGGAACGTGTGGCTGGAGCTGGGAGGTGTCAGAGCATCTGATTCCATAGGACAAGCCTCTCAGGAGGAATGTTGGGGTCACTCGCCCCGTTTGCTTCCGCATTTGGCACATGCATGAGCCAAGGCTAGAGTCTTCTCCATGGAGTCTCCATGGATACAGGAGCCAGGGTTCCTTAAGGCAGCGTTACTGGTAGGTTTTCTCAATGTACCGGCCCCAGGACCTTGGACCCTGCGATGGCTGATGGACAGGAGGTGGGACAGACACTCATTGGAAAGAACTGTAAGGCTGAAGGAGGGCGATATGGGAGTCATGTCCCAGCATGCAATGCCTTCATTGAGATTCTTCATCTCTTTCACCCCCCGGCCCATTTCTCTACTCCCTGTTACATTAAAACTGCTCCATCAGCTCTCCACGCCTTCTCTCCTTCCAGTCTCTCTTGTCCACCACCAGTCAGGTTTCTACTCAGACCACACCACTGGACTGTTCTAGTGGAGGAGGAGGTCTCCAATGACCCACCAGCTCTGTGCCCAACCTTGGCAACATCCACACATGATCCCTCGCACCTCTTTGAAGAAGTTCCTTCTCTTGGTTGCATGTTCTGCCTTCACACTTTTGTTCATGGACCCTGGGGCCTTTGCACATGCTATCTCTGTCACCTGGAATTCCTTTCTTTGGATATTTGCCAGGTTCTTGTGCTCATTCATTCAGATCTCTACTCAGATGTGGCTGCCTCTGAGAGGCCTTCCCTAGACATCTGATCTGAAATAAGACCCCACTGCCCCACCCCTGCCTTTTCCCTGACCCTGTTTTATTTACCCTGAGAGCATTTTCACTTACTGGTGTTATGTTCTTATATGTACCTGTTTATTTGTTGACGATCTGTAGTGTGAGCTCCATGTAGTTAGAGGTTTTGCCTATTTTGCTTCAGGCTCTTAGAACCATGTTTGGCACATAG